CCCCAAGTGGGCAGCTGGACGCGTCAGGCCTAGCGCCGTTGCCACGACAACGCGTACTCGGGATGGATTGGGCCAAACCGAGAGGGAGAGAGAGAGGGGGGAGAGGGAAAAAAAGTCGCCAGACTCGATGCAAGCCTCCTCCCCCCCCGGCTCCCTCGTGGATGACGAGTGACGGGAGGGCGTGTGCGTTGCCGCTTGCAGGGCTCGAGCCGGGGCCGCGTCTTTTGCGAATTGACCGTACCTAGGTAGTTCGTACGGAGTCTACGGGCTAGTTGGTACGAGTATTGTAATCGATGCGCCGACTCCCGTCGTGGAATCTATGCGGCCCCCATATGGCGACCGCGTCGTACCCGCGCACCTGGCGATCAAAGCCCCTTCCACTCGTGCGTGCGGCCTCGGCGCGGCATGATGGATTCGTCCGGAGGAAACCTGGGCCGCCGCCGCCGCTGCTGCTGCTGCTGTTGCTGCTGAGTGCGGCGTGTGGACGGCGGTGGAGCCGCGGGAGGCTGATATGTACATAGGATCACCACCACCACCTCTTGGGAAAAAGCGGGCGGGCGCACATCTTCCTGTTCGCTGACCGCCAGAAGCGAAGCGAAGCGCAGCGCACGCGTGCCCGCGACGTGGCCAGTCGTTACGGGCGGGGCGGGGGTGCCGGGTGCGAAAGGAGCGGGACAGAGGCGATGAAGGTTGCGAGGGCATCGCGAGATTCGTCCACGGCTCACGCCCGGCGGCGGGAGCGAGTCCTATTGGTGAGGCCGCGAAGGAGCGGGCACCTACACGTACGTAACGTACCTGACTCCATCCCCAGGCGTGCGTCGTCGTCGTCGAATCGGGGCCGCGAGTGACGGGATGGATGCGCGTGCGGTCTGGGCCCAGGCGTGTGTGTGCCATGAACAGTGGCCGATTGGGAAACGACCTGCTCTGTCTTGATTCTCTCTTTCTGTTGTAGTAGTAGTAGTAGTAGTAGTTGTTTTTGGCCCGTGCGTTGATAGGTACGTAGATGCAAGGATGGACATGGCGAGTGCTTTACGATTGATCCAGGCCACGTCGTGGCGGTGGTGAGTTTTATTTGCCTGAGGTGAGAACCCGCGTTGGAGGCCGTGGAAACCTCCACTGGAAGCGCTGACGGGTTGGTACGATGGAGGAAGCGCCCCTGGTGGCAGCATCAGCGCCGTCTTAGCGCTGCCGTGGCCGCTGACGGGACCAACCGCGCCTCCCGGGCTGGACCTGGCGGGAACCTCACGCAACATACAGACGCAGCGGGCGAGAGCCCCGCCACCTGGACGCCGCGGCGCCCCCCAACCCCCGTCCGCTCCCGCCTGGGCAGCATTGACCACCACTCGGGCTCACCTCAACTTCCCAGGACCCACTCTGTCGACGCCGGGGGCGCTGGGCGGGTTTTCTCAGGAGCTGCCTGCCTAATGAACGGCCCAAAGCCAAGGTAAACAACCTGGAACGGGAACCCGCGAAACCGCCTGCCCGCCTGCCAGGGACGCCGCAAAGTCACAAGCTCGTCGCCTCAACCGCCGCCAAATTTCCCTCGCTCGCCTCCTGGTCTGTTTTTTCTCTTCTTTCCCCCCATGCCACCTCTCTCCGTCTCCGCGTCTCGCCTCCCCCCGAATACTAACCCGACTGTTGCAGGTTGCAACGGCGACGCATCGGAACCACGCAGTCTCTGTGCATTGCGGCGTTGTTCTTTTCGTCTTTTCCCTTGGCCGTCTTCTGTCGTCTGCATTGTTGGAGCCTGGCGTTTGTTTCCTTTGCCACCCCGATCCGAGTGTCCTTTTCCCGCATCGGTGAGAGAGCCTCGACGCCGCCCGCCAGCCCGCACCCGCCACGACGAAGCTGCCGGCTGTTGATCATCGAGGACAACAACGATAGGCTGACAGTCCGTGACAGTCGTTTCTTCGCCCTTTTGGCCACATGGCTTTCGCGATATCCCGATAGACTGAGCACTCGCCTCACATCTGCAGGCAGCTGCATCGTTGACCGGTCCGCCACCGCCGTCTGCCCGTGCTGAGCGAACGACATGAGTGCGCCGCCGCCGCCGCCGCCTCCGCCACCCCACGGCGAGGCGCCTCGATCGTCAGGGCTGCCGCCCGGCAAGTACGACATCTTCGTCATACCCGAGCACTCTGCCGGCTCGGGTTTCCTGTACCTGCCGTCCTTGCAGCCCAATGTCAACAGCTTCGCGGCCGGCTTCGCCTCGGCACTCATCCTGGTCGCCGTGTTCCAGAGCATGGCTCCCGCATTCCGCGTCTGGTGGGAGGGCTTCCAAGGACTGGGCAACATGGGTATAACGCTGCTGATATTCGGCGTTGGCTTCGGCGCCTGGTCGCTCGGCCGCACGCAAAACGACGCCCCATCCGGGGGCAGGCCAGGCGGTGCGCCCGGAGGAGGCTCGGCAGGTTTCGGTGCCTCCACGTCGGGGTCCAGCGCCGGTCCGCCTCCACCACCGCACGGCGAGTCGAGCCCCCCGCCGCCTCCCCGGGGCGGCGCCTCAGCACCGCCTCCGCCCCAGCAAGACAAGCCCAAGCCGTCATGGCAACAACGGCCGACGCCGCAGCAGCCGGGGACGACGAAACAGGAGACGCCAAAGGGATCGTGGGAAAAGGCCCGTGAAGAAACGAGGAAAAAGGAAGAGGAGCGCAAGGCAAAGGAGGCAGAGCAGAAGCGCCGCGATGACGCAGCCAAGAGACTGGCTGAGCTGCGCGCCAAGGAAGCAAGGGAGCGACAAGAACGCGAAAAAGACCGTGAGCGCAAAGAGAAAGAAGCCCAGGACAAGAAGGACAAGGATCTCGCCGACAAGAGGAAAAAGGATCTGGAAGAGAAGCTGGCCAACGAGAAGAAGGAAAGGGAGGCCAAGGAGAAGGCTGCCGCGGCAGGCGGGAGCCGCGGTGGCAGCTCGTACGCATACTCTGGCGTCGGAGAGAAGACGAGCATGTGGCCCAACGGCCGGCCGAACGTCGCGTCTTCCCAAGCCGGCGGCTCACCCTCCAAGAACCCGCCGAGCCCCGGCAAGAAGCCCCCGGCCCCGACTGCCAAGACGTACGTCAGCGCCGACGAGGACATTCATTCATTCCGGCCCTACGACCAGCCCAAGACGTCGCGTCGGAGACCTTCAGTATCGTCGGTGGGCGGCTCCGAGTCCTCGTGGGCTCCCTCGCACACCACGGCTCGCACCTCTCCGCCGCAGTCCTTCCGCGGTCCGTATACCACCAAGGATCCGGACAAGATTGTCATCAACGCCGTCTATCTCTTCATGAACCAGTTCGCCAAGACGCCGGCCAGCCAGCTCGTGTCGGGCGTGGGATCGGTGACGGACGGGCTGATCCTGCGCATCACCACCGAGGGTCTCTTCATCGACGACGACGTCCGGGGCGTCCCGCAGCGCGAATGGGACGTCAAGGCGTGGACCCTCAAACATGTCGAGGTATGGTGCCCCCCGCACTGCTTGAATTCTGCTGCTGCTGCTGCTGCTTCCGCGTCTGCTTCGAACCCCGCCGCCGGTGCAAAGAGTCCCCCCCACGTGCTTTTCAAGTTGGCCACGGCCCGCCGCAACGCAGACAGGGACGCCAAGGTCCTCACGGGCGACGACGCCGACGCGTACCTGACTGAGATGCTGCGTGCCTGCAAAGATTGCTGTCGCCTTGGCTTGTGCGAGCGGACGTTTAAGAATACTAACATTCAATCCCCCTCGGGCCAGACTGGAGGCTGGAAGGCCAAGGGCTTGCACATACTCCGCGCCACGGTCCGCGACCAGGAGGGCAAGCGGTACATGTTTGTGCTGGACGAGACGGAGAGTTGGAAGGTGGCCGTCGGGCTGCAGCGGCTGCGCCGGGGCACGCAGGTGCGCCAGCTCGGCGTGAGCAGCATGTCGCCCTCGGAGGCCCGGGGCACGCTCGAGACGTTGGGCTGGGGCGAGTAAAGGCTGAAGAGCGTGCCGCCGCCGCCGCCGCCGCCGCCGCCGGTTGATCTGGGTCGGTCGATGTCGCCAAGGGCGAGAGGTATATACGGCGGAGGATAATCGATGGGTATTGGCGCTGGGGAGGATACAATGTGCAGAGCGAAGCATGTGGCGAGCGAGCGAGTTTTGAGATCTTGAGGGGGGAGGGGACGGACATGTAATGCGCATTGTTGTTGTTGCGAGTTTTGTTGTTGTTGGAATGCTGGCTCGGGGCAGGTTGCACCACGGCCGAGCAGCAGGGTTGGACATGTTGTGTCGTCGACATTCCATTCACTATACCCACTTGCGTGCACATGCACAAGCAGCACTGCACTGATGAATTGACAAGGCCATTTCGATGACGGCTACTCCAGGTTGTTGCTGTGATCTTGCCGGGACGACGGCCGTCGCATGGCTTGCTCGGCTCAGTTGGTAGAGTCCGGGTTGTCGTCATCGCAGGCGCTTGAGGCGTGCACAGGGATGCAGATGACTATCGCACATCTTTGCAAAAAAAAAAAAAAAAAATCTCCCCTCGATAGAGCGGCACTTGCGTCGACACGTACTACATTACATATGGTGTACTTCGTAAAAATGGGCGCGCATTTGCACAGGCAAGGGGCCAGATACGCTCTCCCTGCGAGGAGTAACAACAGTGCCCGTTGCTGTAGTGGAGCGCGATGAATGCAGAACGCTATACGAAGCAGCCAGGCAAGAGAAAATACCGTTTCCTCTCTCGCAGAGTGAAAGCCAGTGTCGTTGCTATGCTGCGGTATAGTAACCCTCCAACCTCGCCGCACGATAGGCATCAGAGCTCCACAGCACCACAGGGCCTAGGTAGTTGGGAACTACACGACCACCCCCGTCGTGCACCGGGGGGCGGGAGGCATACGGACGGCAGAAGCGCCACTCCCCCCTCCCCCCGCCTAACACAAAAAAAGAAGAAATCAAAAAAAGAATCGGCGGCATCTGGGCACCCGGGAATCTTCTGCCTCAGACCGCCTGGAGAAATAATCAATTGAATTGCGGACTAAAAAAATGTTCAAAAGTCGCGAGGTCCATACCAGATTCGAACTGATGTCTTTCGGAATTTCATTGCGTAATCAAAACCGAATGTCCTAACCCCTAGACTAATGGACCAGGGTGTGGGTTCTTCTCTTCTTCAGAGTGGCTGAACGACGAGCTATTTCGCTCTATACCCCTTCTCAATCACCTCACCCCTTTTTTTGCCGTTGCGGTCTCACCCCACCACTACGTTTCTTTCGTTGCCTCGTCACCGTCGTGTAAGTGGAAATTTACGAAGCGTAACCATGTGCACGATTCCATTTTTTACTTGCCGCTCGACGTCGCTTCGTGGTATGTAGCTTGTCACTTCATCGTGCACCCAGGAGGTTCATGAGCGTCATTCTCCATCCACTCACTCACTCTCTTTTCGGCCCCCCTTGCGCGGGAGCGAGCTCCTGCTCGACGCTTTCCCCCGGCCTTCTTCTACTCATCGGCCCACGCGCGGGTTTTGGTTGATGCGTCGTCGTGCGATTTCTCTCGTCTCGACTCTTTTTTCCTTCCCGCACACATCATTTTCGTACTCTATTTGCCTCGAAAGAGTCTCCTCTCTCGCCTCTGGCAATTTGGCTGTGTTGCTGTCATCGCCCAGTAAGTTTTACAAACGCCGCCGCCGCAGCCAGTTAGTATACTCCCGGCACATCTCTCCCTGCGACGCCAGCAAACCCCGCTTCGATGCTTTCACGAGAAATCTAAAACTGCAGTCCGCAAGGTGAGCGGCGTCGCCGTTGCGGGCGAGGTCCCTCGTTGGCGCCACTGTTGTCCAGGGCACGTGGCTCCAGGTCGTGCGTGGGGGCATCTCTCTTTGGTTGTTGGCGTCACTACGAAGTATAACCCCACCGAACAGGTCCTTGGTGGGTGCTCGCCCGAAGTGTCTCCTCCTTCATGGAAGAACGACACGCGGTGTTTCCGAGGGAATTTTATCATTGAACAGGCTCAATTCTAGTCCCCGTTGCGAAACCTCCATGTGTACCCAACTCCGTCTGTCACAGGTGGCTCCTTTCCCACTACGTAATGTTTCGACCATACATGTACAAGGCGTACTGGACTGCATATACCCGCTTTGGGCGACAAACAAACATGATACTACTGCGATAACCCGACATGGACTATTCGACCCTAAACCCAGACACCAAACCAAGGGTACAACTCCCGCAGACATCTCCATGCAAGCTCAACAATCAAATAGTGCCTCCCGAGCCATGCGGCCAGTCCTCTTCTGGCAAATCATATCTCGTCAAGCCGCCTATCCGGTACACGGAGGGTGTTAGCTAGCTGTCACTCTCCAGTCTTGTCCCGTCCCGTACCGGGGTCAGGTACGTGAAAGGGGGGAGGGTCGTGTTTTTTTATTTTTACCGTATAAGTCCTCCTCGTGTTCATCAAAGTGCATATAGTGAGGCTCGCGCCCCATTTTGGCCAAGGCGTGGATAACCTCATTCGCGTCGCACGCGCGGTCCAGCGGGATGCTGACGATGTGCGTGAGCTGGTGACACGGCCTCCGCGCGTAGCACATGGGGTGGAAGTGCGACCAGCTGCGCACCGGGCGGCAGGCATCGTTGCGGTCGTAGATGTCCAGGCCAGGGCACCGGAACCGCCCGCGCGGCTGGGCCTCTAGCGTGGCGCGGTCGGCCGGGCTGGCGATGTAGATGTCGCAGATGTCAAAGGTCCTGTCCTCGTCGGGTCGGTCCGCGACCTTTGCGATCCCCGAGATGCGCTCGGCCTGGAGCAGCGTCGTGATGCGCGCGTTGGGCTTCAAGTTGGCGCGGCGGGCGAGCTGCCACGGACGCCAGGGGGTCTTGCCGGCGAGGGAGGGGTGCTGGGGGGACATGACGCACGCGCGCGCGCAATCCAACGTCGGCTCGGGTAGCCTGAGGATGCCGTGGGAGTTGTCGTCCGCTAGGCTGTCGATCTTCGGGAGAAGACGAGCTAGGCGCGTTGCCACGATACGGGACGACAACGAGCGGCGGTTGTCCCTCGACCTTACGGCACCAGGGGGCGTCGCCCGAACGCGCGTAGGGTCATGTCTGGTTTTGATAAATTTGTGGCATGCTCTTGGGAGCCGTGAATACGCTGTTTGAAACCACTGGACGTACGCGTTGGCCCGGCTCGCGTCCATGCGCAAAAGCATCGGCGTTTTGATCTCGCATGTCGTCGGCCTGGACACGCCGTGTCTGCCGGCGCCGGGATGCGCTGCCGGCTCGAGACGACGATCCGCGGCAGCGGGGCTCACCGTGCTCACCCATCAGTGACATGACCACGACTCTCGAGGCGACCGCTCACATACGTGTACAGGGAGAGATATATATACACACGACAGACGGTGCAGTATGATCATCTAACATCGCCGTCATTGCTACGTACCCATCTAGCAAACGTGCCACGCCATGCCCGAAACGCCGTACCCACGGGGAGTCACACCCTTGACACCCCCCCTCTTTACGCATCGTCCGCCTTGGCCGGTTCCTCCTCGAACAGCACGAGCACCGTGCCGGCCTTGCAGATGTCCTGCGCCAGTTAGCGTGTGTTGCCACGTTTAAAGTGCAGAAAAGGCTGAGAAAACAAAAAAAGCTTGGACCTACCCCTTCCTTGTGCGCCAGCTTCTTGACGATGCCGTCTTGCGGCGACCGGATAACCGTCTCCATCTTCATGGATTCGATGCTGCGCCTAGTCAGCGCCACGTCGGATGAAAAGGATGAAAAGAGTGGCCCGTGGACTTACACTACCAGGGGCGTGCCCTTCTTGACCTCCTGCCCCTCCTCCACCTCGTTCTTGAGAATCTTGCAGGGCATCGGCGCCACCACCGAGGCCGTCACCTCCTTGAGCCCCAGCGCCTTCTCGTACCACCGCGGCGGCAGCAGCGCCAAGTCTGTCTTGACACCGTGCTGGAAGATGGTCACCTTCGTGTCGTTCTCGCCCTCCTGCGGCACCACCGACGAGAGAATGCGCTCGCCAGGGAAGTACGACTGCAGCTTGAGGACGGCGCCTTCGCGCGTCGGCTCGCTCGCCACGTTGGAAAAGACCTGGGGCTCGGCGGCGCCCTTGCGAGACACGACGACGTCGTACAGATTGTGGCCCTTTTGCGTGACGCTGGCCTCGACGACCTCGCCCTCCTTCTCGCTGTACCCGTCGAGGACCTTGAAGGCCACCTTGCGCTCTGCCGTGGCGCTGGCGTCGCCGAAGCCCAGCGTCTGGCCGTGCGGCGCCGCCTCGACGGCCTTGGGCTGCAGGCCCAACACGCCAAGCGCGGCCTGCGCAAAGACCTCGTCGTTGATGTGGCGAGGCTTGAACAGGGTGTCGCGCCACTTGTCGATGAAGCCCGTCTCGACGTCGCCGGCGATGAAGGCGTCGGCCTGACACAGGCGCTTGAGGAACTCGACGTTTGTGCTGACACCGACAATCTCGAAGGCGCGCAGGGCGGATTCGAGCTTGGAGATGGCGCGCTCGCGGGTGTCGCCGCGGACGATGAGCTTGGCGATCATGCCGTCGTAGGCCTCGGAGACGACGCTCCCGGAGCCGAAGCCCCAGTCGAGTCGGACGTCCTCGTCGGCCTGGACGGCCTCGGGCAGGACGGCGTGGACCAGCTTGCCCGAGTCGGGCATGAATCCCTTCTCGGGGTTCTCGGCGTAGATGCGGGCCTCGATGGCGGCGCCGCTGCGGCGCATGCGCTCCTCGACCTGGTCCTGGGTCAGGGGCAGGGGCTCGCCGGCGGCGACGCGGAACTGCCACTCGACGAGGTCGAGGCCGGTGACCATCTCGGTGACGGGGTGCTCGACCTGCAGGCGCGTGTTCATCTCCATGAAGTAGAAGCGGCCCGAGTCCTTGTCGAGGATGAACTCGACGGTGCCGGCGCCGACGTAGCCGACGGCGGAGGCGGCCTTGCGGGCCTTGTCCCAGAGGTCGTAGCGGGTGACGTCGTCGAGGTCCGGGGCGGGCGACTCCTCGAGGACCTTTTGGTGGCGGCGCTGAACGCTGCAGTCGCGCTCGCCGAGGGCGAGGGTGTTGCCGTGCCGGTCGGCAAAGACCTGGACCTCGACGTGGCGCGGGCGGACGATGTACTTTTCGACGAGCATGACCTCGCCGCCCTCGCCAAAGGAGGCGCGAGCCTCGGCGCGGGCGCTGCGCAGCTGGGCGGGGAACTCGTCCTCGGTCATGACGATGCGCATGCCCTTGCCGCCGCCGCCGCGGACGCTCTTGAGGAGGACGGGGAAGGTGACGTCGCGGGCGTGGCGCAGGAGGTCCTCCTCGGCCTGCTCGGCGCCGTGGTAGCCGGGGACGCAGGGGACGTTGGCGGCCGTCATGATCTCCTTGCTGCGGGCCTTGTTGCCCATGTCGGCCATGGCCGAGGCCGGCGGGCCGACAAAGACGATGCCCTCGCGCTCGCAGCGCTCGGCGAACTGGGAGTTCTCGGACAGGAAGCCGTAGCCGGGGTGCAGGGCCTGGATGCCATGGCGCTTGGCGAGGGCAATGATCTTGTCGCCGTCGAGGTAGCCGTTGGCCGGGCCGAGGCCGAGCGACTGGAAGCCCGACGAGGCGTGCCACGAGCCGGCGTCGACGTCGGTGTAGACGGTCGTGGCGCGGATGCCCATGCGCTCGGCGGTGCGGTTGATGCGGATCGCGATCTCGCCGCGATTGGCGATGAGGACGGACGTGAGCGGGGTGACGACGGGTGCTGATGATGATGATGAGGAGGAGGCGGAGGCGGAGGCGGAGGCGGCGGGTGAGGATGCTGTCGTCGTCGTCGTCGAGAGGTAGCGAGGGAGGGGCCTCAGCGGGAGGCGGGTTCCCGCCCGAAGGGAACGCATGGCTGCTGTCTGTCTGGCTGAGGTGGGATTGCGAATGCAAGCAGGCAGGCAGGCGGGCGGGCGGAGGAGGAGCGAGAAGCGAGAAGCTCAGGAGCGGGCGAGGAGGAGGGAAAAAAAAAACACAAGGACGGCGGCGAGGCCAGGTCTGGTGGTGGTGCCGGTGCTGGTGGTGGTAGTGGGAGTGGTGGTGCACTGGTGATGCTCGGTTGAAGCGACGCCGACGGCCATGGCGCGCCGCGCGCAGCCGCTGCCCGTGGGGAGCCGAATGTAGCCGCG